CTGATGGGGAGCGGAAGAGCAGTTGGGTTTGTGTAGAGGTCCATGGCAGGGTGGGCAGCAGGAGCGAGCTGGGAGGGCAGACTCCTTGGAACAATCCAGGCTTGAAGGAGCTGTCAACCCCTTCGTGAAGCTGAGCCCAACCTACTTGGCCGTCATAGCCCCACTACCTTCTGAGCACCGTTACCGGGGAAACCCACATCCTAACCATGGCACCTTGTCCCCTTCAGCTCCGGGAATGTTTTTGTGTCATTTCTACTTTGTCATCTTTTTGGAGATACACTTCACGTTATCGGCCCGCTCACTCTTTTCAAGTGCACTGTTCACTGCAAATGAGCATTACCACTATCAACTTGACAGCATTTCTGTCACCCACTCTGACACCATTCTCTCTTCCTTGAGAGCAGATTGGTCCTTCAAGTATTGTTTATTTTTTGCTGAGATTTTGGTGTGTGTGGTACTGGGACTGACTCCAGGGCCTCGTGCATGCTACCACAAGGATACATCTTCACCCTAGAAAGAGATTTAAAGACCCTATCCAATCCAGCCTTCTTTTTACAATAGGGAGATCAAGATTTCCTGTTCAGTCTTTTCCTTCTACCTTTCCAACATTCGCTGAAACTACTAACTACTTTTAATCCCATCTCGCTAGTCCTTGGTCTATGCAGAAATGCAATTTCTCCTCTTACATTGTATCCTTTTTCAATATTATTGACCCAGTCATGTCTTTCTCGATTAATAATACTTAAATGTTGTCTTTTCCAATGATATTTTTATTTTAAACTCAGCTTAACTGTGGCATGAAACTTTGGGCTCTCGATTTCAAGCCTGAGTTGTCTGGCTATATACAACATACTTTTAAAAATTACAAAAATTTCCAGGCACATTAGTAGAAAGAATATATCCATCACAAAGATTTAGTATTATTAAGATTTTTTTTGCCACATTTGCTTAATCTTGATTTGTTTTTTTCCCCTGTGGCCCTGGGGATTGAACCCAGGGCCTTCACACTGAGCTACAGCTTCAGCCCTTTTTGGTTTTTTTAAAGTAAATTTATTGGCACATTTAGATATACATAATGATCACATTACCATAGGGAATTTGTACCTGTATATGATAGATCTCGATGCCTTTTCTTTCCCCATTCCCCTCCTCTCCCTTCAAGCCCTCCTCCCCTCATTTACAAAGCTTTGTTTTCATTTTATCCTTCTTTTCTCATTTTTTCTTTTCCCTTTTTTCCTTTCCCCCTCCCCCCTCTCTAGTTCCCCTTTCCTTTTGAATAATTTCTTCCTATTTCACTATGTCTGATATACATTTTGGTCCTTATTTATACTTTCAGTTTCTCACACCAGAGAGACAATGCGATATTTACATGTGTGTCCGATTTATTTCACTTAAGAGTATGGTCTCAAGGTGCATCCGTTTACGTAGAAATGTCTCATTAATCCTTCCTTATGGCAGAGTATAAAAAACACATATATAAACACACTGTATACAAAAACACATCTTTTATTTATTCATCAGTTGATGGGCATTTGGGTTGTTTCCAAGATTTAGCTATTACAAACTGTGCTGCTATAAACATGAGTGTGGATATATCACTGTGCTTTTAATCACATGCTTTTAATTCTTTTGGGAAGATACCCAGCAGGGGAATAGCTGGATCAAATGGGATCTCTAGCCCTAGTTCTTTGAGGTATCTCCACACTGATTTCCACAGTGGTTGCACCAGTCTGCACTCCCACCAGCAGTGGAGAAGGGTTCCTTTTCCCCCACAACCCTGCCAGCATTTGTTATTGGCTGATTTCTTTCTTTCTTTTTTTTTTTTTAAACAGTATATTGCTTTTATTTGGGGGCCTGGAGGTGGGGGAAAGACACCATGGTGAGGGAAGAAATCAAGGACTACAAATGCAGGAACAATTATTAAAACAGTAATACACAAAATGAGTAACTGGAATCATTTTCTTAGGAGGACTTGACTCATGGAAGAAAAACTTTAATCACTGTTAATCAATGTAAAAACATTTTTATGAAGTAGAAATTGGTTTCAATAATATTACTAGAGAATATGTTCTAGAAAGTGGAGTTAACTGGATGTAAAATTTGGGCAGCAATGTAATAGAAGAGTCCCAGATTGTTAGGCTGAGGCCAACACCCAATGAGTATGAAAGCCTTGTCTGGGGGGATCTTGGACGATACCTGCAGCAATATTACACTGTGCATGAACCAAATTGAATTATTTTCGCAAGTGTTGTAAAGTTTCATACAGTAAAATTTTTCTACATGCACTTCAATTTCACAGCAAGAGTAGCATAGAATACCTAAACACAGAAGAGAGCATTCATGCAAGATATCTAACTCCTTGATATAATAATGCATACACTTCAAAATGATTACACTGTCATTACCTCTAGGGCTTTCTGCAGCTACAAGGTGGTGGTTATGGAAAGCACAGCCCCTGGTATCAACATCTAGAAAGTAGCCATCACCTTCTATGTGTGTTCTCTTTTTGCGTTTTTTTCATTTTTCTTAATCAACTGCTGTTGCTGCTGCTTCTTAGCAAAACTGGTAAAAACAAAATTGTAATCACTGAACATAGCACTCTGGCAATCAAGACGTTTAAAACCTTCAATCTTCTGGGGTGAAGAAAGCACTGTATGACATTTAGAACTTTGGGAAAATTGCATTAAGAAACTCTATTTCTTCCTGGAAATTCCGGTGTGAGTACCCTTGGGGAGAAGGCTTCATGAAATTCTTATGAGAATAAAAGAAGCTTTGAATCGAGTCAAACCCACTGAAATCCCTAGCAAGCTTCAACAGGGGAACCAATGCTTTCAGTAAGAGGTTGGTAACACGTCTTCAAAATGAAACATCTCTAGGAGACAAACATGCTACTCTCACTGAGTGCATAAGCTTCCTGCTTGTCAGTTTTTGTCACACTTATGATTGAACATTGCACATCCTTCAAAAGTACATCCCACTCAGATCCTGGGATAGTGGGAAGATCCCCAGATCCCTGGCTGATGTCGGGTTGCTGACGGGAGAACCAAACCTCCAGCAGCTTCTCGGTCCCTTTGAAAAAATGTGCAGCTTCCATCACCGTGAGACTAGCGAACAACCAACAACCACAGAAAATCAACTAAATTAAATCTCTTCTCCCGCCGCTGCTGCCACCGCTGCAGATTGTTCCAGCTGTGTTGCTATAAAGTTCAGGTCCCTTTTTTTGCTATAATTTTATATTAACTTTTTTTAAAAAAAGGATTAATAAAATTTTCCCGGCTTTTTTGTTTGAGTGAAAGTTGAACTTGAGTCTGTCTGGAAATAGAGGCAGATACAGTTCAGTCTCTTGTAGTCTGTTGCTTTCCCGTTAGAGAGAGTAGAGTGAGCACTAGCTAATGTCGCTGGCCAGACTGTGTAAGCGAGCTTGGCTGATTTCTTGATAGCAGCCATTCTTTCTAGAGATGTAATCTCAGCGTTGTTTTAATTTGCATCTCTCAAATGACTAGTGATTTTTTTTCATATATTTATTTGTCCTTTGTACTTCTTCATTTGACAAGTGTCATCTCAGATGCCCATTTCGGATTGGGTCTTTAAATTTGGGGGGTCTGATCTTTTTAAGTTCTTTATAGATTTGAGATAGTAGACATTTGTCTGAGGAAGAGCAGGTGAAGATTTTTTCCCATATTGTGGGTTGTCTCTTCACACTGCTGGTGGTTTCTCTTGCTGTGCAGAAGCCTTTTAATAAGAAGAGATCC